ATGCTGTGAAAATTCTTTCAATAAAAGTAAGTAGATTCGTAGTTTCGTAACCCTTACAGTTAGACCTGGCAATTGGGTTGGGTGGGTTGGGTCAACGTATTTTGGGTTAGAGTTGACCTATGGGTCAATTCAGGTTATTTAAAAAAATAAAGAAAATTTACATAAAAAATGTCAAAATTAAAAGAATTAATTTTAAAATTTCAAATATGAAATAAAAAATTTAAATATTTAACAATTTAAAGAGTAAATAATAAAGACTAAATAGAAAAAATTAAAGAGTGAAAATTTTTAACAATGTATAAATAATCCCAATTAGACTTGACAATCAGGTCAGCAGGTTGACCCATGACCCAACCCAGCCCAACCCAGTTTATTTCGGATTGAGTCATTTTCACATTCAGGTAGCTAAATATGAGACCCTAACCCTGTTTTTTTGGGTCGGGTTGGATTGGGTTCGTGGGTTGGGTCAATTTTCTGCCAGGTCTACATATAGTAGCATAAATGAAATAACTGATGTTATTTTCTCCATTATTAGTCTTAAATTTTTTATAGTAAGCTTTTTTTTTTTTTCTCATTTTTGTTTTTCTTTCCGTAAAATACATAGACTGTCCATCAGTTATATCAGAAGACTCACAACCACTGATATATTTTTTTGAAATTTTTTCTCAGCCCTAAGTGTAGATTGTTGGCTTGTGATTGGTTGTTACAAGAGAAGCCTATTACCATAGTTTTGCAATCGGGTTTCCCCAACTCTAGCTCCTCTCGTCTCAGATTATTTGAGAAATGGGATATGCTCCTCACAAAGGTGCGCCTCACCCTGACCTTACAGCCACATCCCACCCTGGATTAGGGCATCTACCCATGAATAATAAATACAAGGGAAATTGTTTAAAACTCATCATGAATTTTCAACTTTTTCCTTAAACTCACCATAACTTTTCAGAATGCCTAAAACTCACTATGTCATTAAGTTGTTATTTTCAAAAACTCACATTCCGTTAGTGCACCATTAATGCTTCTTAACAGAGGTGATCATGTCAGCATAACTAACAATTTTCATGACCAAATTACCTTTGAATGGCGAGTTAGAGGAAAAATATGGTCTTTTTTCAGTTTTCAATTTTCTTATTTTTTTTTTTTGCATTTTTAGTGTTTTGTTATAATTTCTGTTTTTTTTTTTTTACATTTTTTATTTTCTACAATCTAAAATTTTCCTGTATTTTTTTGTTATTTGTTTGTAATTTCTGTGTTTTTCTATAATTTTTGGTGTTTTTTTCTACAATTTTTATTTTTTTATTTTATTTTTCAATTTCTATAATTTTTTATATTTTTTGTAGTTTCTATTTTTTTTATGTATTTTATATATGAAAATATTTTTTGAACTTTTTCCTTTTTTTTCATGTCTAAGACTCTAAATGTTAAGAAGGTAATATATTAACACCCACTAACTTATTTTGTATATATTTTATATTTTTCTATAAAGGTTAAAATGGTAATATATTAATACCCATTAATCTGTTTAACATTAAGTTAGTGATATGGTAAGTTTTATACATTTTGAAAAGTTATGACAAGTTTAAGAGAAATGATGAAAAGTTATGATGAATTTTAGACAATTTTCCTAAATATATGAACAGATATAGAAAAATAAATACAAAGTTATTGAAAAATAATGGCGTAAATGCGAAACTTACAATAAATAACTAAATAAATCTTGAAAGTCAATTTGTTTCTGGTGGAGAAGGCATGTAGGTGAATTTGGGGAAAAAGATTGTCATTGTTGATGAATTGAAGTCCATACTCTATCTAACTTCTCCGTATTCTCTTTCTCCAATAACTTTTCCTTCCGGGTATTATAATACTTGTCGGCTTGGCTTTTTTAATTTCATAAAATACAGAAAGGTCCTAATCCCAACTCCCAACTCATATTCAATTCATTTATCAGTTTATTTTGTACAATATCTACCCCAGTAATTAAGTATGTTGTCTGATACTCCTAGAAGTGGATTTCTGTGTCAATTATTGAGTCCTGTCCATTTGGGCTTCCTGATCACAGTTTCAGCTTTATGGAAGACAGCCAAATTTGCCACGTGGCTCTCACCCATAGGTTCAAGATTCTCAAAGATAGACAATCCAAGGGTTGACCTAACATCTAGGACAATCATGATGATCAAATCATGGGCCATGTATGGAGACTATGGGCTTGACCCAAGTCACTTGTCTTTCTTCACATGCACTTGAGGTATCCAATCCATTGTGACTTCAACAAGATCCTCTAAGCTACCCTACAAAGTCTACAGGAAGATATACCATCAAAGTGTCTTCTATAATTGTTAACTAATGTTTTAAATGAATAAATTTCAGATAGCCACCCTATACTTGGGGTGCTAACACTTGGCCCCTTGAACTTTGTTTCTTAACAAACACCTATTGAAATTTCAAATCCGAATTTGATTCGAGTCCTATATTTCAGATTTCAGATTTGATTTAGATTTAATCCGAAGACTCCACTCTATTGTTATTAAAATAAAGTAAAAATAATTATTTTTAACATATAAATATATAAAAATATATATAAATGTAGAATATTTTGTATAATGTCTATGTATATACATTGTTATATTACATATAATTAGATTCAGATATTTATCGGATCAGATGCGGTAAGATCCACATTGATCCTATCATGGTTTTCAAAACTGGAACGGTTGGACAGCAAAACTGGATACCCCAGAACTGTTATTTCATCAAAAACCGTTGACCCGGGTGATCGAACTGTTCAATGGTTTGGCCACTTTTTTTTTTTTTAATTTTTTTTATCTTTTTGTCAGAATGGGCCGACCCAGGAACCAGATTCCTGACCGATCTGGATCCTATTACCAAACAGATTAACTATTGAACCGGGTATTGGATTTTTAGTCTGTTGACATCTCCAATTCTATGGGCTGTTAGCAACAAATATCAAAATGATGAAGGTAACCAACCATTCTAAAGATCCAATCATTCTCAAGATGAACTTTTATTCAAAAGAATTTGAAAGAAATTAACCTACTTGAGTTAGGATTTTAGAAAAACTAAGTTAAATGAACAAAATGGTCTCATAAAATAACACAAGTATACTTTGGGCTTTTAAAAGTATTTAAAATGAATATTTCTTAAAATTAATTGACAAATTGCTAACGGAACCAAATTCAGGGAGATAAGTATCACTAGCGTAAATACAGGGAGGTTGTCTATAATTTAAATTTATGAGAAGGGGGAGATGGTAATAACTTAATACTTTAATAGTTGAATAGTTTGGAAGATTCAACCGAATCCATCTTATTAGATTTAGTGACTTTGAATAAAAGTGACACACCGCACACTTTATTAAAGAAGACAAATGTAATCTCCAATTTCATTACTTGCTGAGATTAAAAAAAAAAAAAAAAATTCACAAGCAGCCTTGCCTCTTGTTTGAAAGAAATAGTTAGAGAAAACGATTGCTTTTATAACAAAATAACACATGAAGACAACCAACTATTTTATTATATTTTATTAATTAAGGAAGGAGAAGACAAACCCAACACCTCCGTTTCTTTCTTTTTTTTTTTTTTTTTTTTTCTCCTAAACCTAGCAAAAGTGACATCTCCTTGTTTTCTTTGTCATCTTCCTCTCAATCTCAACTTCCTTGTTCAATAATTATTAATGAAGAGAGAAATCAAAGGTTTCCCTTTCTTAATGTGAGATGTCTTTGTCTCAAACTTAAAGCTTCCTTCTCAGAGAGGGATAGAGATAAAAAAAAAAAGAAAAATTCAGGGTTTCTAAAATCATCAACTGGCTGATTTGGAAAAAAAAAAAGATAAAAAAGTGAACTTATATGGTATAATAATCAGCATGATGGGTGGTTGCAATGTGCAAAACCAAGTGGATCAAGTGGATGGGGACCCTCCATTTGGTGGTTCCCATCTAAGATATCTCCTAGTTTCAAAAATCTAAATGATCTAGATATTTTTCCATGTAGACGTGACAAAATGATGTGATAGGTCATCATGTACCCCGCTTTCCATGTCTTGTACCTACTCAATGGTCCACATCCATCCAGTCTGTATAATAGAAGCCTGATTTACTTATTTGGCAATTTAGTGGGCCAAATTTGCCCATTGACTGGGCAATCCTAGCCATCCAACTGAAGCGATGCCCATGGATGTCCAGTCAGAGTGATCCAAAAACTGGGTCCTTGATCGGACAGTCCAGATGGCTACCTTTTATTCTATGCGTGGGGTAGGGACATCATGTCAACTCTTACGTTTAAGACCAAGTGGTGATATAGGATTTTAGGATAGGCCGATGTTGATGATGATGATGAATTGATGATGCTGATCATAGGCATCTAAACAGTACAAATTGGTGCCTCGGGATCTAAAGATACCCAGGACCAGTCCTAAGGCTCTATTTGTTTGCAATGCATTTGTATTTGCACTAGCAAACGACAAAACCACAAATTCTGGTGTACTTTTGGTTTGGGTTTCACTTCTAGAATGCAAACAAATAAAATCAGGCAAAAGCTAAAACAAAAGCACTCACATACTTTTGCAAGTTTTGCACCGGTGTAAATGAAGCTGCACTGCAAACAGACGAGACTGGACTAGTATCACCTTTGTAATACTGTAACAGATGGACTTTCCTCTTCTCTTTACCTGTTCTGTTGAGAATTAATGTGATATTATTTAGATAATTAAAAGGGTAAATTATGCATTAATGGAAGTCATAAAAACAGAAAGTTTTGAGAATAGAGTCCTGTCTAACGCATGCAGCTGACTCTTAAAAAGAAAACTTTCTACAAGAACTGGGCATGAATGAGACGTCAATGTGATTTTATTGTGATTTATGAAGCTAATAAGTTTCCCTTAATGTAGAGACAATTCTTAAATCTCCATTAAATTTGGTTCCAAATTCTCCAAATACAGAGAAACTGAGACTAACCCAGTTTCACATGGACAGAAATATCTCATTCTCACTTAGCTACATCACTGTAGCAAAGTTATTTCAATTAAGTTCTATGTTCTAAACAATATCTATCTGACACTCACACAGATACACAGACAGCCAAAAAAGAGAAAAAAGGAAATACACAGAAAAACTATCTACCTATCTATCTATAATTGGAAGACTTCTCCAAAATTCAAAAATGGGGAAAAACGAAATGCTAGTCTTTCATTATTAAAATGTACACGATATTCTTACTCAAAATAGCAAAATCAAACACAGAAGTATCAACAATAAGAAACAATTAAGAAAAAAAAGAGGAAAAAACTGCTTAGAGCTTGAGGGACAAGTCAAGCTTCTGCAACTCTTCTTGATTACTCTTGCAACGACCACTACCCGGCCACCAACAACCACCAATTGCCCCATCGGAGGGAGAATTTAAGCTCCGGCTGGTATCAAAACGAGCGGCGCCACCTTTTGGGGACGACCCGGCAGGCAGTCCCACATGATAATAGTCCTCCATTGCTAGCTTCCCAATTGCCGGTTGCTGATTGATGGGCGGCCTCGACCACCCATGATGGCTGTTGAGATGAGCTGAGCCGGAGGATGGTTGGAGAGATGACTTATGGATCATAGAGTGCACCTGAATTCCAAGCGACCTATTGAGAGAACCATGGAGAGGCAGAGAGGCCAAGCTCGAGAAGCGGTGGAAGGGTGTCTGGGAATGGCCGAAGGCCGCTGCAGCCACTCCCATCCGGTGTCCTCGTTTGGCAAGAGTTCGCTCTCGCTTGTGAGCGTTCTGGTGGCCACCGAGTGCTTGAGAGCTATAGAATTTCCTCTGGCAGTAGTTGCAGGAGAAGACTCGGGGCTCGGCGTCGGTGCGCTGAGGAATTCCCGGCAAAGTCTCCGGTGCACCCACGTTCAAACAATCGATAAGATTGAGTTCAGACTTGGACCCATGACTCGAATCCTTATGAGAGAGGCTAAGATCCAACAAGAGATCAAGGCTAGTCTCCTCTCGCAGGTTATCTTCTCCTTCTGAGTGGTGCTGCCTCTCCTCTTTCTGCTTCTTATTATCTGAGCCATCTATACTTAGTTGAGCCTCTGATACTGAAATGATGCTTGAGCTCTCAGAGAGGCATGGCTCTGCTTTGTGTGGCTCCATGGGATGAGGAGATGATGTGAGACTCTTCTTCCCCTCGGTGGTTATAAAATTGGGTGGTTTGATAGGAGGAAGATAAAAACAAATACTAGTGACAAGGAATTTAATGATATCTGCTATGTATGGAAATGATGTTCAGTTGTACAGTTACAACAAGGTCTTATAATGGTAAAACCTAGAGAGGGTCTGGTTTAGAATTTGGAAACTTATATGCAGAAAGGACAAAGAAAGGTGAACCAGACCCCTTCCTCTTTTCTAGCTTATCCTATTATCTTATCTAACTTATACAAGTATATCTCCATCAAAAGAAATGGACCAAGTCCCCCCCTCTCTGTCTGGCTTCTCACAAAGCTCTCTAAAGTGGTAGCTGTGTATATTCCACAGTATTACTATTTGTTGTTCCCAAGATTTCTTGTTATTGAGATCTCCAAAATAAAGTTTTCCTTTTAGGGTGTTTGGCTGCTTGGATTATTGGGGTGTTCCAAGAACGTACTTTAGCCTAGAAAAGTGTCAATGAGACGAGCCTGGAGGCCCCTATTAATTGCTAGCAGGGGCAGGCTCTTAGGTTGTGTTTGGTGTCAAGGAAAAGGTAGGGAAACCTATACAACAATTGTATTGGCCGGTTTCTCTACCTTTCCCTTCAATTTCAAACCAAACTCAACACTAAATTTAGCTTCTTTTGCTTAACAGGCCCTATTTGAGCTATGATCGATCAGTGGCTCACTTCAATCTCAGCTCCCATTTACACAATCTGTATGAATACATACATGAAACCGGTATCTCAAAATATTAAAAATCAATGAAAAATAAAGTAGAAACTGCTGATTGGTGTTTGAAATGATTTGATTCGTTAGACATGCATTTTCTTTCAATTCTATTTAAGGAAAACACTCAACCATCAAACAACTCCTTAATTGTAAAGCCTTCTTCATTATGTAAGCATATTTCAAATTTCTGTGCTAGTGTCCAAACCCATTTTGATTCTGAACTTATCCCCTTCTATGAATTTAGATATTAATTTCTCCCTAAAATCAATAGCTCCTAGGAATTCTATTCTTTGCTCATAGAGCAGCATCCTATATACAGTGTCAACAAGTTGATAATGAGATAAGGTTGAATTTGCTATTGTGAAAGTTAGGCGAGCCTTCGCTTTGAAAAGACATGGTAAATGAAGTGAAGTGTCGTTCTATAGTTTTCTTAACATAAATAGCCAACAACAAACACCACCTCCGTGATTCACATCTCAAGACTCATCAGAGGTGCTTTGCCCATTCTAGCTTCTAATTCCTTTATTTCTTTGTAATTGTGTGGCGTCTATCTATCTTATCTCCTCGTTGAAAGGACAAAAAGAGGAGATTAAATTGGAATAAATTAAGTAATTTCTTTAACTCATGAAGTAATTTTTTGAGTCATGCCATCCACTCATTCATCTCTTCTTGTTCATGCCCTGGAATCTGTAGATCAATAGATGGGTCCCACCTGGAAGATACTTGCAATGAAAACCAACACTGATCAGATGAATGGGTCTCTAGCATTTTGTATGAACTTTTTCAAAAGTGTTGTGGACGTATGCGAACATAGGGTTCAGATAAAGAGGGTAAGAATAGATAGTTGAGATCATCAATTAAATCATGCTGGTTTTTGCTCCAAATAATGATTCACAGAAAGAAAGCAAGAACAGCAGATTGACCGCTAAAAGGCTTGGTGACCTCAAGTATTATTTAAGGTCAATATTTTGCAACGTAGTTCTATCTCTGTAACAAGTAGCAACAGAAGCAATACCAATTTTGAGTTCAAATATATTTGTTATTTCTTTTTCTGACAAAGAATTCTGCAAACATACAAAAGTTCTCAAGCCTCAGAGAGAGAGAGAATAAAACAGTGATTTTAGGTCCTACACCGGTGAACTACCATAGAACTGTGAGATTCTGTACAAAGCTGGAAGTGATGTTGCATCCCAACACTGAAAGCAGTGGTTTTCTGAATTGCTGAATTTCTGGATCAATGTGGTTCTCACTTCCACTAAAACATGAATTGCAAAATTTACAGCTCAGTCCAACTTAATTCATGATACTGGGTACCATAAAAATTCCCGTACAGAAACATGTCTTGTGGTACCGATGCTTTATGAGGCTGTGAATCTTGTTCACTATTACTGTAAATCTGGAGACCACCATAGATTTGGTTGTTGATCCTGCAAACACAAACACGGGATGCAATTTCATACCGCAAAACACAACACTTGACAGAAAGGAATGGCAAAACAGGATTCATGTAGCCAACCCCAAGGCTTATAAGATTCTGACCAGGCCACCTAAGAGGCTTTCCTACATGGAAAGGTGTATTTGTGCCACATGGAAGGATCCTGTGGCCTATCCAGACCAGTAATCTAGGAGGAGTTCCATTGGATTGGCCACATGTACAGTATCATAGTCCATATCAGCCATTCATGTATCCCCCCACATGGCATTGGATAAGCTGTGAAGTGTTCTACTCTCTCTCTCCCTCTCCATGTATTAAAGGATGTGGAGAGGAGCTGGGAGACTGCTTGGCCAATTCAAGGCAGGGAAGAAGCTCACTAGCAATCCTTCTCTGCAGGTAAATGATTCATTAGTTGGATCAAATAGGAATGATGTAGCCAATCTAAAGTGGGGTATCCACCAAATAGGGGACCTCTCTATTCTATTCCACCCTACTACAGTCCATGTCAGCCTTGCATCCTACCTTCTATTAGTGTTTCCCATAAATAATATGTACTCTTGAATGTATGTATATCAATATTTTAATATTACCCTTGCCCATAAACAGAGCTTGATTCTGATAACGTGGCAAAGGTTCAAATATTTTTTTAATAATTTTGATATGAAGGAGAACCAAAATTTCAGATGGATCATAAGTGACAAAATTCCAAATTAAAAAAAAAAAAAAAAAGATTGTGAGATCTTGCCCAAAGTAAATTCAATATTGAATTTTTGTAATATCTTAGTAAGTTTTACCACATCCAAACACAAAAATATAATTTCATCAAAAGTAGAAATCATGTTATGTTAGGCACCTCATTAAGGCATGCAGATCCCTAGTGAAAATACAAAAAGTACCCTAAAGTTGCACATCTGGGCAGTTTTGTCGGTACTTGCTTGGCTATTACTTAGGGTTTACCTGTTTATCAAAATTTAGATGTGCCCATAGGTGAAAGAGGAAGAAGTTTCTTAGGTACCAATGGACCCATATCTTCACACGGGGGAACTTTTGGGAGCAAGAAAAGAACCTTATATATGTGTAGGAAGTAGGTGCACACAGAAGGCAAAATATTCATGTGTTTAGTTTAGACATCAATGTGGAGACTTGGCAGAATAAACAGTAGCATAAAAACCAATACCAATAACCTACGTGTCCATGAGAGACAGTCTGCCATACATGGGGAAGGGTTAGATGACAAGGACATGGCCGACAGGTAGATGGAGAAGCTGATGTGGAGGGGCCCTCCTGCTCCCTTAGTGCTCTGTCTTATTCCATGTAAACTTTATGAATTATTAGTATATATGTAACATGGTCGGAACCCTAAAGTAAAGCCCTTTGAGGCAAGTGTTTAGTTAACTTTTGCAGTAAATATGTTTATCACAAAACCTAATTAGGTCCACTCAGACACACTCTCTCATCCCCCCCATCTATTCCCAACTCCCACTTGAAGACAGTTGAAAAGAGGGTTTCATGTAAAGAAGGAATAATTGGTTACTAGGGTTCTGTTGCTCTTTTATTCTCATTTGCTTGTCCAATACAAGAACCCCATTTGAATAAGTATGAATCCTTGCTTGTTTAATCAAATTCGACCAAATCTCCTGGGAGATCTCAATGTCTATCTAATAAAACATGTTTTGAAAAGCTAAAAGTGGCACAGGCTTCCATCTCTCCTACACATAATATATGAAAAAGATCAACTACTCAAAACAGGACAACTTAGTCCCTCCACTTCTTTAAGTCGCACTCAGACCCATTATGTCTATCTTTTACTTCAACATGTCACCTACCCTTCCCTCTCTCTCTCTCTCTCCCTCTCCCTCTCCCTCTCTCTCTCATCAATTAGGACCCATTTTTGTGTGTTGCAAAAGTGACATTCAACTTGATCCATGCTCCTTTCTTTCAACTAGTAGTGGGCCATAACTGAAATGTCTCAGCAGATTTGTAAACAACTTAGAAAGGCATCAATTGATGAGGTGATCTTTTAAGGGCAAATTTCAGAAACTTCCCCCAAAGTCATGATGATATGTCAGTCTCTTCTATCAGTTTCACTTGCTTTCCCTATGTCATCCCTTCACAGCTGAAAGATTCCTTAACCAAAAGGTAAAAGCTGAAAAAATTTAAGATGATCTATTTGCACTTTTATTGAATTTGTTTGGATGATGGAAAAAACAAGACTACTATGGCTAATAAATACTTTTAGCAATCACTGTGTCTTATAAAACACAGAGTTGCTATAATATTTCAAACTAATTTCTGCCTTAGCTGATATCATTGATCTGAACATGTTTTTAGATCCAAAATGTTTTGCATGGCCATTTCATTAATTTTAATTTGGGCGTTGACATATTTTTCATCTTTTTTGTGATTTATTATTACTGTTACTAATTTTAATTTTAAATCAAAATTTTAGGTAAAATAAATATAAAAATCACTAAATTTTGGGAAAGACAAAGGTTATGCCCGGAATAAATACAAGCAAAATACTTGATTTTTGTTTTGGAACAAAGGCCCTTGAGTCTGAAATTGGAATTTCACCAAAGAAACCAAAATACCCCCAAACTAAAAATATGGATGGGATTCTCAAATCTCTGAAAAGGACGAGCATAAACCAGTTTATGGGTCTTGTGGCACCAAAAGAAGCTTTTACCGGATCATAAATATTCAAAATAATATATATATATATATATATATATATATATATATATATATGCGTGTGTGTAATTTAAGTATTTATATATAAAGTAGGGGGGTTTGACTAAGGAACAATTCCTAATAGGAACCTTTTTCTTTTTCAATTTGAAACCTTGAAGAGGTCTAACTCTAGGGCATTAAATAATAGTATTAGTTACCCAAACATCCATTTCCCAAGAGCCCTAATTCCATCCACCCTCATGTAATGGGAAAGTTAATTATATGCCACCCAACTTCCTTGTAGGTAATCAAAACAGGCTTTTCTAGCTAGTTGGGTCATTTAGGTTGTATTTGGTTTGATGGAAAA